GATGATGATGATGATGATGATGATAAAAAGAAATTTTGTGATTTAAATAATTTCTATTCATTTCCGATCAAAACCCCTCTCATTTTTTTTTTGTTAAGATTTTCGTTTTTATTATTATTATTCAAAAAAAAACCTTTTCATAATTTCCCCACCCCTTTCTTTCTTCCTTCTCAATTTATTTTTTTGTTTTCATAACTTCTTTTTATTTTTATTTAATTTTTATTTAAAAGTTATGCTTCATTTAAAAAAAACACAATTAAAATTAAAAATTTAAATTTTAATTAAACATTGTTTTTACTATTATTATTATTATTATTATCTCAAGCAGAAGAATCTTTCGTCGTGATTGTTACACAATTAAATTCGTAATATATCGATAAAAATTAACAACAGGTACGTTTCCTTTATTTTTAAGTAAATAAAAATTTCACTTAAGAATTTTTTTTTTTTTTTTTTTTCCACAAGCTTACATAAATCTTATTTACGAAAAGAGATTTAAAGTAAAATATTTTTTTTAATTCGTATCAGTTTAAGATTAAGAAATTGATGGAAGTCGATGAAGTTTATTACGTAAAAAAAAAAAAAGTGTGAAACCCCCCTCCCCCCTTAGAAAACAAAAAAGAAAAAGAAAAGTATACGTACGCATTCTCACAATATTAAAAAGATATTATTATTATTATTTATTTATTTATAATATTATTATTATAATAAAAAAAAAAAAATTCCATTAGGAAAAAATCGTATAATTTAAAATCACGTGATCATATATATATATATTTCCTTGAACTTAAATTTTTTTTTTTTTAAAACTTTTCAGGTCGTATCACACAGGTTTTTAACCTGTGGAATTTTAATGGTTTTTATCAGATAAAATTTTTTTTTTTTTTCTTAACTATCTTCACTCCATAAATGTCCTATTCGTCAACCCGCCCCCCCTTCCCTCCCCCCGAAAAAACTCGTTTTTTTTTGACTCGTTTTTCTGGATGAAAATAACGATATACAAGAATTTCATTTTTATGTATTTCTATGGATTCAATAAAAAAAAAACTCAAATTTTTGATAACTTTTTGTATGGTTATTAAAACAAAATGGCGTGCGATAGATTTAGAATTTAATTAATAAAAAAAAAAATCCATAACTTTAACCATAAAATAATAATAATAATAAACCTCACGGATGAATCTCTAAAAAAAAAAAAATTAACCTTTCGAAAAATACATTTTTTTTTTTCTACATTACTTTCACCCTTCATACTTTTTTTTTTTTGTACGTTTAATAAAAGAAAAAAAAATAGATAAATAATAATGATAATAGTAGTATTAAAAAAAAAAAAAAATGTAGGCAAACGAGTTATTATTATTATTATTATTGTATAGTGGGAAATAAAACAACTTGCGGGTAACTCTACCGGTTATCTAATACATTCCTTCCTTCCTCTCTTGTCGGTTATGACGTAATACTCATTTATTTATTATTATTATTATTATTATTATTATTATTATTATTATTATTATTATTAATAATAATACTTTTTATTTTCTATTTTTTGTAATTTGACGTACAAGAAAGTTTAATTAGGTGAAATGAACTTTATTTTCTTTGTCATCTCTCTTCGGTATTACAATAATAATAATAATTTCCTTTCCTTTCCGGTTTTTTTATTAAATCAAATGCCAAGGTCGTCACATAGAAAAATCTTTCTTTTTTTTTTTTATTGTTGTGTGCGTGAGTGCGCGTGTTTTATAATTTAGCTGTTGTGTAAGGTGAAAGTATTGAGTTAATAATGAAAGAGCTCCCCCCGCTTCCCCCCCCCTCTTTCTCTCTCTCTCTCTCGGCTTTATTTTTTAATTAAAAAAGTTAAAAAAAAAAAATTAAA